GCAGGGAGCTGCTCCCCCCCCACTGCTTAACTTACCGGTTAACCGTTCACATCCCTGGCCTGGAGTTCCAGCCTTCTCTTGCCATCCTCCTCCTCCTGTGCTGGCCAGGCTCCCAGTCTTAACGTCAAACCTGCGCCAGAGCTCAGAGCCCCACATTCAGCCGACCCCGAACTTCTCCATCCTCTGCATAGTGTTTTCTGTTAGCCATTTCTTTTTCTTCCATCTCTGTCAGATCCATGTTTCTGAACTGTAGAGCAGGCAGGGACAAACGCAGGCGGCCTGTACATTTCTTTCTGGCTTGTTAGTCAATTGCCAGTGCTGTCACCCATGCACATTGGGTTGGGTTCCCCTCCACTCCTTTTCTGGTACTAAGTGTACTGCTGTTTTTCTGCCTTGCCTATCTGCACAACCGTAATCTTTATGTTTACCTTCAAACACAGAGGCCCACTCTGAGATGACATTTACTAATTCTTTCTCTCAACCATAAGGGCCAGATCAGCAGCATCTGTTAGCTTTCTCTGTTTTCACAGACTTGGTTCTCATGCTAATTAACTCCATAACTGGGAAGAGGAGAAGTGGACTCAGCATACTTCCCTGTTTTAATCTGATTGTAAAAATTCTGAAATTTCATGTATTGTTTCCACCTCCGTTCTTGACATAGCTCTTTTATCATCACCACTTGGAACACTCCCACACGTCTATCTCAATACTGCAAATACCAGCTCCCATGGAACCAAGTCATGCTTTCTTAAGATAACAGCTACATAGCATAACAGCTATCTATTTATCATTCTTTTAAACTTCCTTCTCACTGCAAATATTCTGTTTCTTCAACTCCTTTCCTTCCTAAAGCCATGCTGCTCCTCTCATATGTTTTCTCCACCCTGCACCTCAGAGACTTTCCCTTGAAAACTTTTTCCAGGACTTTGAGACTGATTTGATAAGATGATGTTTTGGATCAATCATTTGCATCACCTTACCCATCCAGAGAGGCACAATCAACCCTATCTGCAAGTCATCTGGTATCTTAGCTTGACCCCAGCAAACTATGAGTAATCTCTGATGCTGCTTTTTCAGTATCATACCGACAGTTATTTTGTACAGTTACACAAATGCTAGAAGTCTAAATAATATGATCGGTGAACTAGAGTGCCTCGTGTTAACGGAGGATATTGATATAATAGGCATCACAGAAACTTGATGAAATGAGGACAATCAATGGGACACAGTCATACCAGGGTACAAAATATACCGGAAGAACAGAAACAGGCCATGCTGGTGGGGGAGCGGCACTATACGTGAAAGAAAATGTACAATCAAATGAAGTAAAAATCTTAAATTAACCAAATATTCCATAGAATGTCTATGGGTAGTAATTCTGTGCTCTAATAAGAATATAGCAGTTGGGATATATTATCAACCACCTGACCAGGACAGTGATAGTGACTATGAAATGCTAAGAGAGATTGGGCCATCGAAATAAAATAATAGTAGTGGGGGATTTCAACTCTCCCCATATTGACTGGATACATGTCACCTCAGGATGGGATGCAGAAATCAAATTTCTTGATACCTTAAATGACTGCTGCTTGGAGCAGCTGGTTCTGGAACCCACAAGAGGAGAGGCTATTCTTGATTTATTAGCTGGTGCTCAGGATCTGGTCCAAGAGATAAATGTAACTGGACTGCTTGGAAATAGTGATCATAATGTAATAAAATTTAAAATCCCTGGTGGAAAACACCTCAGCAGCTCAACACTGTGGTATTTAATTTCAGAAAGGGGAACTAAACCTAATGAGAAGGTTAGTTAAACATAAATGAAAAGGTACAGTGACAAAAGTAAACAGGACTTTTGTAGGGGTAAAAAATGAACTAGATAAATTACTGGAGGTGAGGTCTATTAATGCTTATTAGCCAGGATGAGTAGGAATGGTGTCCCTAGCTTCTGTCAGAGGTTGGAAATGGGTGGCAGGAGAGGGATCACTTGATTACCTGTTGTGTTCACTCCCTCTGGGGCACCTGGCATTGGCCACTGTCAGCAGACAGGATACTGGGCTAGATGGACCTTTGGTCTGACCCAATGTGGCTGTTCTTATGTCTTCATCCCCAAATGTTTTGTGTCTCTTCATCCTGTTCAGCGCTGCTTCTGCCTTCTCTACAATGATCAATACCTGTGGAAGCTTCCCCAAAACTATCAGTGGTGCTTGTACTTGCAACTCTTCTCATTTAACCGTCTTTAGAAATGTTTTTTCCTTTGCTCCTACCACCTGTTTAGGTTTCGTTACCACACAGTTCCTATCCTCTTCATTTCTTGTGCTTTAGTGTTCCTCTTTTTTGCCAACCCAAAACCCGATTTCCTGCCCTCATCTTCTTGCAGCTTTCTCTATAATTCCTCTTCAGCCTCCATGCATGCTGAGCAACTGCCTTTTCAGCCTCTTTTGGCCTGTTTGTATGCATTTTTGATGGCCTCATTATCACAACTTGTTCCTTCAAGCTCTTTTGAGTAATTAATTCATTTTTGTTTCTTTTGTGCCTCCATTGGCTTGTTTTCCCCAAATGTATTTTTTTAAGCAGTCTCATGATTTTTAGAGCTGGACTTGAAACTTGTGGATGTTTTTTGGTAAGATTGTATAAGACTGAACTTTCTGTCCCTTGGAAATCCACCCTGCATCTTTGGAACATCCTTTTCCAAGGGGTTTGAGCTGGAATTGCTCCATTTGGGTCAGACGCAGCAGGGGTCCTTCTGGTCCCCTCTGAAGCTTTGTGGGTTTAGCAGGGGGCTGGGAACCGGTAGCTTCTAGGTGCTGTTCCCAGCGTTGCCTTGCTTCATGAGTGTAACACACAATACGTTTGTACAGCACCTCCCGTCCAGCTTGCTCTCTCCAAGTGCTTTGTGCTCCTCCATGGCAGCAGGCAAGCATCACGATCCCCACTTTCTGGTGGGGAAGCTGAGGCTGAGGGGCTACAAAGTGAGTCAGCAGCAGAGCGGTTGGTGCAAATGATCACGAGTACCACTGCTGTGCATGACTCCGATTAAAACCAATTAGTTCCTGCTGCGCTGCGAGGTACTTGCTGCCTTGACTGATCACTTAGCAGCCTTATCTAACCTCTCAAAGGGCAAATGCGCAGAGATCCTGTCTAGGAAATGATGCTCTTCCAATCACAATCCTGTGGTGCTGGGCACTGTGCATGTAAGAGAGTGTAGTATTAGATCTAAAGAGCTTTTCATTCATTTAAAAAACCCCTGCCTGACCTCCAGACGTTTGAACCTCTGGCTAGCCAGCAGGCAGGATTATTGTGACTGTAGACATTAAACCCTGTATCCCTGCCCCGTTAGTTGTGTGCACTCGTCTGCCCAAACCACAGTGGATGGGACTGAAGGGCCCTGCATCTGCAGACAAGGAATGAGCCTGGACTGGGCTATGCAAAGTGAGGTGCAGGGACTGCTGAATTTTGCAGCCACCCACTCCCAGAGATCAGTGGGAGGTGGTGGTGTTCATGGCTAGTAAGCTCACCCATAGGCAGCTCTTTTCCTCCCCAGAGGTGGCTGGGGATATTTTTGGTGGAGGATGTAGATCTGTAAGCAAATGAGGTGCCACCCTCCAGTTCCTGAGAACTTGTGAATGTGCACTTAGTCGGCGTAGTGTGCGGAGAGTCTGTCTCATCACAAAGAGAAATCGCTCCTCATGGCATCAGCTCAGCACAGGAGCAGACTGGGAGTGCTTGAGGGCTGTGTTTACAAATTACTTAGTTTCTTGTAAGAATCGCTCTGTGCCGCTTGACAAAGGGTAACAAGACTATCCCAATCCCGGTGTGTATATTCTGGTTCACCAAAGAATATCATGCGAGTTCTTGAAGGAAAACGGGTCGTGCTGGTCATTTGTGCCGTCGTGCATACATTTCACGGGCAGCTTTTTACATTGGGCTGTTAGCGTGTATTCTGCAAATGTGTTTCTGAAGTCTCGAGGTAGGATTGACAAACAGGTCTTTGTCAATGGCGTAGCCATGCTAATCCCCGGATCTGAGAGACAAGGTGGGCGAGGTAATGTTGTTTGTTAGTTTGTCTCTCTCACCAGCA